AATTTATACTTTTGGCTAAAATTCTTATTTAAAAGAGTTGACCCACCGTTAAAAAATATAATCTGAAATGCTTCTATTATTAAAAGATCTGCCTTTTCAAAGACAAAATCATCAACATACTCAACCGTACCAAACTCAGTATCAACTACACCCTCAAATGTTTTTGATGTTATTATTCCGATTTTATAGTTATCTTTTACATTTTCTTTAAAAGTATAAAGTGAGTATAAATTAGTTTCTTTACAAAATACCTTTTCATAAAATCCATTATACTCAATCTTATTTGACTTAATATCACTATGATCTTCTTTTTCTCTATAAACAAACTTATTTTCAGTTATACTATACATAAATTCTCTTTTATATTTACCCTCACCCATCTTATATCTTGTGTCCTCTGTAAATCTTACTACTCCTATTGATGATAGCATGTTTTCTTCTATCTCTTTTATATAAACATTAATTCTTGGTTCTTTAAATAGAATAACTTCTTCAATATTATTGCAATTATAAATCTTTTTATATAATTCACTAAAATCACTACACTCATTTAACTCAAGTTTATCATCCAATATTTTTTCTTCAACTAACTTCATTAAAAATTTAATAGCACCATCATTTACACAATCTTTCTTTTTAACGTAAGGTTCACTTTCAACCGAAATATTAAAAAGTTCTTTTAAACTCAATCTAGCTACGTATAAATCAAATTGTTCAATTTTACCATTAAAATTTGAATGATAATTTTTATATTCAATGTTTAATCCTATGTCGTTTAAAAATAATTCATAAGCTTCTAGTGATTTTTTTAAGTTATTAAAAACATGATTCATAACTAACCTGGCTGATTTAATTGGAAAACATGCACCTCCTACTTTTACTATCCGTGAATCAAATTTAAAATCTTTATAAAAATCTTCACTAAATTTTATATTTCCAATTGCATCATTACTAAAAATAACTGTCTCTTTAAAGTCTTTATAAGATTCAACATTAATATTCTTATTTCTATTCTTATTAAAAACAAAACAAACGGTATTTGATTTATCTATATGTAATTTGTTTATGTCTCCATCCATGACAATATTAACATTATCTTTAATGTAAGACTCTGTAAAATCATCTAAATCTATTGAATTCTCAATTTCTTGCTCTTG